AAAAAATAAAATCGAATTAAGTAACTTAAAAAATGAAATTTACGGTGTTACTCCAGGTATAAATTTTAATTCTTATAGGTATAACTTGTTCGGCATAGATCCGAACAATTCCAAACTGTGGTGAATTATAGTTTACTTATTGAAGAATGTTTTGAAAGTAATAAAAAATATGTGCTCTTAAATAAAAAGAAATGATAGTCGTTGAAAGTAGCGTTACTCATTATTTTATAATAATGAAATGTCTATACATTTTTGTAAATATCTTTTGCGGCGATTATTCGATTTGAATTTTTCAAATTGGAGCTTATTGCTTGTGAACAGACGAACAAATGTATGTATCATAGAATAGAGTGCAATCAGAATTAAAGAAAATATTCCAATAATTATCACTCTATGTTTAAGCGTGAACCATTTTCAACTTAGCCTTTTTTCAGTAGCACAACTACAGGATAAAATATAATGAGTTGAAAACATGTGTGATTATATAAAGACATTATTATAATTCTTGTATGCAAACGCCAAATTATATTTTCAATTTATAACGTCTAAAAATTAAAAATAAAAAAAAATTTATCGAAATTTAACTAGTTAATCGTGAAAAATGAATTATCCTTTCATTTGTTTTATTTTCAAAGTTATATCAAAATCGATGTCAATAATGTCAGTTTGTTGGTTAAAATAGTTAATATCAAAATTAGTAAGTAAACAATTTAATTTACAGAAATAAAAAATTAAATGCTAATAAATAAAATATATAATAAAATATGATAAAATATAAATAATTTATTTTTGATAATTAAAAAATTAATTATTTGTATTTTATCATATTTTATTATTCAAAATGTTTTGCAGATATTTCAAATAATATATAAAAAAAAAAAGAAATGCCATTTTTAATTATAATTTCCAGAAGAAAAATAATATTTTCGTTTTTGGCTTTTAACTCAAACGGCATTAAAATAAAATGAATCACGCAAGAAGATAATTGTTCTTGAATATATTTTAAAGAAAGTAAACCATAAATAAAAGGTGTGCTTGCTATGTGGAAAATTTTCATCTTGATAAGTAAAAATCGGCCGGTTCTGTGGATTTGCCCATATAGTACCGTGATATATAGCGCCGGAAGCTATTTTATCAAAAGAAGACATATTATACAAATTTTAAAAGAATAAAGCATTTGATTTAATATTTCTCACTTGCAGGTTAAGATAGTCGCATACTACATAACAATAGTCACTTTTTAACCCTTTGGCGGTTAATGACGTCTATATACGTCATGGAATAGATGGTCTGAAACTGTCTGATGGTCTGACTCAAACTATTTTTTTGTCCAATAATTTAACGAAATTGTCCTCAAATAGATTATTCGAGGGTTTTCGGGGTCGCTGATTCCGAATCTGAAGTCAGATTTTCAAAATTCATAATGGCGGATCCAATATGGCGGACTTTTTTTCAAAAGTAATCATATTTGCCACTTCTTATTTTTAAAAATCGACATCATATTCGTAATCGGCGATCCAAAAAAACCCCGAATAAAATTTTTAAAATAAATAAATAAAATTTATATTTTATTGTCCACCATATTGGATCTGCCTTTCCTTATTTTTAACAACCGACATTATATTCGTAATCAGCGACCCAATAAACCCCCGAATAACAATTTAAAAAAAAATAAAATGTATATTTTATTGTCCGCCATATTGGATCTGCCTGTTACGAACCGGAAAAATTGTATAATGAAAATTAAGAATTTTCAGATTAGGGGGAGGCACCAAGCTAACAGAATCCAAGTTTTTCCAAGAGTGTGAGAAAAGAAAGTCGAACTCTGTTTATTATATGTGGGATCGTTTATCCATAAACGTTCCTGCCAAGCCACTATATTGGTATAGAGGAAGATCTAGTAATTAGTGAATTTAGAGGAGTATTATAAATAAAGAAAACTAGAAATTTCATTTTACATGCGATCATTTATTGATGGGAATTTTTTTGAAATTACAATATAAAAGGAAATAGAAAAGAAAAATTAATATTTCAAATGTAGGAACGATACTTGTCGTCTTACTTTCAATTACCGCTTGCGTCGCCTACGCACGGGTTTTACAGCGTCGCTCTGCGGGCAAACAAGGTTGGTAGCGTTTTGCTTTTGTAGGTCCACCAAATAGGGACAGCTCAGGCACTCACGTACGGACTGGCCGGTTCCGACAACAAAAATTCCAATTATTATATATTATACTAATTGCAATTTTCACTCAACTGGTTCCCACGGGACTCCGCTAATTTGGAGAATTTAAATTTGTTTTCGTCCGCCCAAGCTTACTTTTAACTAAAGATTGAACCTGGATTCGACACGCAGACGGGCTAAGTCGCGGCGTTTCCAATTTTCAAGTTAACCTCTCTGCCACGCTAGAGCCAGGAGAGATGTTGATTGATGAAAATGGAAAGTTGTACTGCTCTGTTAAAATTTTTCTTACATGCCTTTAGTCTTTGACTTCGTACTCAGGTGGGATGAAGTAAGGTTTTGGTGGTAATGGGGAATGAAGGTAGGGAATTATCACAATGCCCATTGGATGATGCGTTTTGCAAATGTTTCGATTTTTGCACTGCTTTCCGTGAGAACGGAAACAATTGGAATATGATACTTTTCAGAAATAATTATCGTCACATTATAACTGCCATTGTAAATTACAATTGCGGTTATTATTTTTTTTGTAACGGAATTATAATTATCCGCAGCCATAAGTACAAATTTATTGGTCCTAATTTGTGTCAATTGCAAATATATATATGGCTCATTTCATTTAAAAGGTAAAATTCATGTCCCTTGGTAAAAAAAAAAAATTCTAGCTAGTAAATAAATATTTTTTGGTTTATTTAATTATTACCTAACATACTCTAATTTTTTATTTACTTAAAAGAACTTTGAGGTGCTTTAAACCGAAATGATAGACTAAAAAGCAGACTAAATGTCCCCTACTGTCCCTGTCCTCGAGGCACTTGCACTACATTGCCTACAATAATTAATACATGTATATCCTTTTTATTAGCTTTAAGCAAAATTCTTTATAATCTTTAATTCTTATATTTTAAAATCCATTAATTTCTTTGTATCAAATTCAAGAATATTATTTTTAAAAAAATTTTTCAAGACGTGTCACTCATTTTCATATTTTATATTCTGCCATAATGTATTCATTTTCACACACTCACTACGAATTAATTACACGCTTCCCCTCACTGTTTAACCGACGCTACAATAATAGACGAATAACCTCAAAACGTCAAGACAATTAGAATGTTCTGGTCTGTATCGTCAAAATTATATAGCGGGGCAGAAAAATAATTGACTAATGGTTATAACCTAGTGTCCACTACTGTCCCGTCCGTAAAATGGTAAGTAAATACTTAATATCTTATATATAAGTCAATTATTAGCAAAAAGTTTTATTTCTTTAAGAAATCTGACAGCTTGTGTTGCTTATCAAGTAACATATTTATGTTGGGAATAAAGAAGGGAATAATCTGACGAAAATTGAACAAACGAAATTGAGAAACAAATGGAAAATAAAAAAACGAAAACAAAGAGAATCGAAAAAACTGCAAAATTCAGAATGCTTTAGTGAAATTCCTAATTTACCCAAAGTATCTTGTAAAATTGTTGGAGCTCGTAGATCGAGGAGAAATCGGAGTATACTTAAAAATAAAATTGAAAGATTAGAGAAGGAAAAAAAAGTATTAGAAAAAGAGAATACTACCTTGAAGCGACTTTCAAATAAATACAAGAAAAGAGCTGAAAGATTGAAAATATGTTCAAATGTCAGTAAATCGCCATCACCAAGTAAAAAAGCAGCCCAAACGATAAAATTAGGAAGGAAAGAAGTTCAAAAGGAACTACGTTTTTCATTTGGTTTACAAAAACAAATAAAGGAGAATTATAAGACTGCTTCATCTGTAGAAAAAACTACTACATCTAAAGTTGTCGCAGGAAAAATTATTAAGAAATATAAGTATTTAAAAAGGTTAAAGCCTATGATATCTTTAAAACGTTACTCGACTAACATTCATAAACCTGGTTTCATTTTGGAAAAACAAGTCAGAAATAATGAAAAACGACAATCCTTGCAGCAAGAGATTCTAAATTTTTTTATCGATGATGAAAATACGACTCAGTCTGCTAATAAAAACGATTTTAAAACACATTTAAAAGAACGAAAGTTGAAAAGGTACTGTAATGATACATTATCCAATTTATACAATCAGTTTTTAAAGAATCGAAATACGTACATCTGCTTTAATACTTTTTTAAAATACAAACCATTTTTTGTTGTCTATTTAAAATGTAATGCTAGGAATACATGTGTGAAACACCTTAATATGCAATTAAAACTTGATAAGTTGAGAGAGTTAAAAATTATTATAGAGTCTAATAATTTGAGTGAGATAATGTCTGATATGACTTGTGACGGTAAAAGATTAGAAAAGTGTATGCTTGGATTATGTCTTGAATGTAAAGAAAAAAAATTGAATACTTTAGAATACGATGGTACTTGAACGTCTTATTATTATAAGTGGGGATTGAAGAAGAGAGAACAAATAAGACTGGAAAAAAATACAAATTTAAAGCTATGGCAAAAACAAAAATTGCTGAGACGCAAGAAAATATGGTTCTCGAAAGTTGTTAACTATCCACACTAATGCGTACTACAGTTTGTCTCCTGAATCAAATGGGATCGATCTTATTAAAATTTGCACGATTTCCGTGGATGTTCGACATAATGCACCAGCTGTTTTATTATAACTTTATTCATATAAATATTTTATACATTAGAGATCAAGAATATCACGATAAGGTACAAAGATGTAAACGGTGATTTTAGCCACTCATCATATTAGGAATTACGGGAAATGTCTCCGCTTCTTGAAGAACAAGTAAAAAATTTTGCTCTGCTTCGACATCATTTTCTTCAAAGCATTCTATTATAGGTATCAGTGAATCAGGCGTCGGTGAATCAGATCTCATTGAATGCACTTCGCATAATACCTCATTTTTCCGTTTCGCAAGTTTTTTTTTTACTTTTTGCTTAGCAATTGGTGTCAAGTCATTGTGCATAAATTCACAGGTTCTATCTAAAAATAAAAGAAAACTGTGTGGTTACTCTAAATTTTAAAATCATCACTGATTTCAATTAATTAAAAAACTCACGAAGTGATGAAGTTAATAATAAAGAAATAAAGACTAAGTTTTAAAACATACAATTACTCTCACCTTACACCTGATCGCGTACTGACGGACAATAATAGTCATGTGGAACCTTGAAACCATTTGCTGTCACTGGTTTTATAGCAATAGCCTGATTCAGACAGAGGTCATGAAAACTATGTTTAGTTACGTTGTTGTCTTTTGGACTGGGAATCTCAAGTGTACCCAAATTAGTTCTGTGTAGCGGGAAGGGTGATGGAAGAAATCGATTGCTCAGAGGTAGAACATCTTTTAAACTGCTTCTCCAGTCACCACAGCAATCTCTGTCAATGCACTTTACAATCTAGAATTAAAAAAAAATAAAAATAAAATTGTTTGCGAAAAATGGAACAAAAATTATTAATGTTAGTAAACAAGACCTGCAAGAAGTATTGGCTTTCTTGAACATGTGTATTAAACCATTCAGGAGATACAGGTTCTGGATCGGAAGCTATACAATCTGGACTGACATACTCCGCAGTAACTGGATACTGGTCTATAACCATACTACTCCAGACTTCTGCAAGTGCTTTTCCAGCGAATTCAAAGTTTTTTAATTCGAGATCCACATCAATTGTTTTAGAACCGTTGCCGAGGTGAGTGCCGTAATGGTCATGAGGCAGTATTAGGGCGGATAATTCACGGCTTATAGGCGCCATTCGTCTCTCGACACGATTATAGCAACTGCGTCCTGGAGAGTTTGTGATTTTAAACATAGCATCTAAGTCATATTTTTTAAAGTCGTTTATAGCTTGGGCAATTACTTTCGCATAGCACGGATTTTCATCCGGCCCGCCATCTGTCATAATTGCTACCACCGGTTTGATTTTTCCGCTATTGCTTTTTTCATCTGTAAAAAATATTTCAATTAACTTAGAATATTACATATAATAGTAATTGTTATTTTTATTAATGTTTTCACCATAAAATATCGGTTCAAATGATTCCACATTTAAAAGATTTTCAAAGTCAAAAGCGTTAGTTGCTGCATTGCTTGAACAGTGTTTGGCGCTGCGAATGGCGATATACGTGGGTCCGGAATACGAGACCGATTTAGGGTCGCCGATCTTGTCGTCTTGAACAATTATTCCAGCGTAAACGCTTGGAATGAGCTTGTGTTGTGGTGCTACCACCTAATCATGATAGGGCAATAGAACTCGGTACTCTAAATGCATCAATATCGGTGCTTGATGTTTGGCAGCTGTAAGTCCGAGAGGCACTTTACTTTTATCAGCCTGTGAGATGACAGCCACTTGACTAGGACCGAGAATTGAAATTAATTGTTCTAAAGTTCTGTGAAAAACAGTGAAAATTAAGCTAAAAACACTTAATTTAAAAAATAAAAAAACTTATAAGAATTACATTATCGATGCTGTACAAAATTTTCCATTGCAATGGTCGTTCCTCATTTCAGTTTGAGCTCTGCACAGTTTTACCGGCACTGTATTAATATGTATTTTTCCTTCGATTGTGGAACAGTTTCTAGGCACAAGTCTGAGGTATGCTCCACTTGGAGAAATTATAAAGCCTCGTGCTTCCAGCTCAGTGTGCAGGTCCTTTAGAGTTTTGCAGCTACGTATTAATTCAGTTCGTCGACGACTATCCGCTGCTCCACCAAACATTACAATGTCGATTATGGCTTTCAATAGTTCTGTTTGATCCTCTTCAAGACGTGGCCTGCCTTCAATCTCTCGAACCTAATTTAAAAAATCAATTTATTTCTACAATAATTAATCATTATTATATTTGTTAAAAATTTTGTCGCAATCAGAAGCTTTTAAAAACATTTTCTATTTTAATATTTATTTTAAATAGATCTTGTTTAAAAAAATCTGATAAATATTATATAACTTACGATAATATCTGATAAATACAGCATATCTTACATGCGAATCTTTTGCTAGATTCGGATTTTCTTTTATTAACTCATTGAAAAGTTGCCTCCTCTGAAGTCTTTATTTTTTTGTCTTTCAGCTTTGGCCTTTTTTAAAGATAATAACTTTCTATTTTTTTCAAGAATGCATAAAAGTTAACATATATATAATGATTTTTAAAGCTTTTTTGACGAGCTACACGCTGTTAATAAATTTTTTTTTTTAAATAACATTTGACCTTGAAATTCAAGGTCAAAATGTTAATTTACGTTTATCTCAAAATCGGATTTTTTAAAATTATTTTTAACTATCTCAATGGAAAGCTTGACAAATTTCCTACAAAATATGTAATTTTCAGAGTGGGATCTTTTAAAGTTTTTGAGATATTAATTAATTAATTAATTAATGTTTATAACAAATCAAAATATTTTACAAACGAATAAAGTTACCGTAATTCTGAAGTTAGTAATTGAAAGTTAACGTAATTCCGCATCCAACGAGCCCTATATGAAGTATTTTGGATAAGTAGATTGGTTATAAACAATTGCAATGTTAACTAATTGTTTATTAACAATCTACTTATCCAAAATACTTCATATAGGGCTCGTTGGATGCGGAATTACGTTAACTTTCAATTCCTAACTTCAGAATTACGGTAACTTTATTCGTTTGTAATATATTTAATTTGTTATAAACATTAATTAATTAATTAATTAATATCTCAAAAACTTTAAAAGATCCCACTCTGAAAATTACATGTTTTGTAGGAAATTAGTCAAGCTTTCCATTGAGATAGTTAAAAATAATTTTAAAAAAATCCGATTTTGAGATAAACGTAAATTAACATTTTGACCTTGAATCTCAAGGTCAAATGTTATTTAAAAAAAAAATTTTATTAACAGCGTGTAGCTTGTCAAAAAAGCTTTAAAAATCATTATATATATGTTAACTTTTATGCATTCTACTTATAAATATTGTACATTGAAAAAATTTTTTTTTTCAAAAGTCAAAAATTAAAAACGTTGTAATTCAAAAACTATTTTATTAAATTCAATAATAATTGATTTTTAGACTTTCACCAACAATAACAACATTTTAGAAAAGTATGGATTAAATTCGAGAACTTTTAATTTTTTGTTCGGACATTTCAGGAATTTTGCCTCATATATACTTTTTTTCAAAAACGTTTATTCCTACAATAATCATTTTTGATTAATTAAAAAAATTTAAATTATAGTTTCAGAATTTTTTTATCATCTATGATTTTCTTAAAAAATAATTAAAAATTTAATCTTCAACTTTATATATTAAATTTTTAAAAGTATTTAATTTACTTTTTTTAAAAATAAATATTACTTTTAAACAATTTTGAAAAAAATTCATTTAAAAATAAAGAATATTACAACATTAAATACAATATTAAGTTCTCATAGAAAATCTCATGAAATCATAATATTTCTTCAATGTATTTTTAATGCAAAACATAGTCTTTGGAATAATACTAAATATTTTTTTAAAACAATATAAATCCGCCCATTTATTTTTTCTCAATTTATAATAATATGGAAAAGTTAATAATCCACAGATTTTAATTTTATTTATTATAGGTAACCCTACTATATATACATACGTACATACTTTATATACATAACCTAAAAGTTATTTAAAATAACAAAAATGACAACTTACCTACTTTCTAAAAAAACTTAATCGACCTGCATCTTTTTTAGTTTTTTTTTTGAAGTAAATCTTCTATTTTTTTATTAACATTCGCTTCAAACAGCTTACTGTATAAAGACATTCTTTTTTTACTTATCAAAAAACTATTTCACATGCCGGGATTTTACCGGCATCAACTTGTCAAACACAGGCAGGGTTCAGGTAAACAAAAACATGCGTGACAAGAGGTAATGGGCTCGACTTTATTCGTTAAGCTACGGTTTTTTGTGTTTGGCGAAGTTCGGTTTCTTAGGTTCTGACGTCACAACCCGCACGAATTTGAAAATATATTTAAAGAAAAGCTATGTTCCTGTAGGATTCGACCCCCCCCCCCTCCCCCCTCGTAGCCTAGCGTAACATTTTACTATCACCCTCCCTCCCCCAAATGGGCCACGTGGTTTATGAATGACCCCTAATAGCCTTTTATACATACATATATACACTCGCAATTTACATCCCTTCGGCATCTTAATGCGAACGGGAAGTTGCAATTAGTTGCAATAAAATGTTTAAATAACGTAAAATTCCAAATTGTTGCTGTACATAATTTTAGATATATGTATAGTTCTACTGTGTTTGGCGTGAGTCACGAGTAAAACGCACGTGCGTTTGTTTTCATGCTGTAGCCCATGGCTTGTAGTCTTCTAGTAGGGGAGGGGAAAATCTCAATGGGGGAGTCAAGGCAGCGAGTAAAGGCATGCGATGCTATGTATGTGTTACTTCGGTCGCGTGTATACATGCGCGCAGCACGTGGAATCCATGGTAGTATTGAGGTCCACTATAGACGGGGGAGTCCGTTCGGTGGGTACGAGTGAGTTGCCGTAGCCATCCCAATACCCGCAGTACCCCTCTTTTACACCTTGCATTGCCTTCAGCCCTTAATTCTACTCTAAGAATTTTGTTTATAAGAGAAAATTCCTCTAAATTAAATTTATTCCTCTATAATATATTAACAATGTTGACAATATTACTCTGCAAAAGGGTAATAGGCAACAACTTTGTTGCGCCGCGTGGTCAATTACATGGAAAATAAAATATTGGGTTTATAGTTTATAGTGTCGGATGTCTCGGTGCCCTGCTGCTTGTAGCAGCGCAGTTACATTGCATGGAGGATGTTTTAGAAAATAATATTCATTAGGCAGTGTTGCCAGATTTATTTTGAAATTGATTCTTAACACTGACATTCCTTATTTTTGAAAACTGACATCATCTTCGTAATCAGCGACCCGAATAACAATTTTTAAAAAAAATTAAGTATAATTATCCACCATTCTGTCTTTATTCTAGGTAGCAATTTGACTGAATGTCGGTATCAATTTGCTATTTCATAGCATTAGTCGATTTCGTTTTTTATCATACTGTCGATATAAGCGTAATACAATTTTTTATTAATTATCTTACTAATTATAAAAATTAAACTTAACCTAAATATAATCTTAATTCTAACTTAATACTAATGAGGTACTTAATTAAATGCAACATAAATAACATTTTAGAGCGACTCTACGTCAAGTGATCGCACTGATTTAGGCTATTTTGATAAATTTTTATAATATTGATAATTTCGGTTTTTTGTAAGGCCCAAAAAAAGAAATCCTAAGTATTTTTAAAAAATTCAAAATATTTTTCAAAATATTGCACATTTAAATTTTTTGTAATTTTTTTTTGACTTATTATAACTTCCCTAAATTTTAACCAATGGGGATGAATTTTTTTTATATACTCGTATTTAGATGCTCTTTCATGAAAAAAATTTTGAAAAAAATTGAAAATTTTTATTTTTTCCTTAAAAAAAATTTTTAATTGTTTAAATAATTGGAAAAGTACATCTTCGAGTTTATTCAGAAAATTCATTAACATTCTCTACAATTTCCTGAAAATTTTAAGACCTTGAAAAAGATGGTACGTCTTATAGTTTCCGAGAAAAAAAATATTTAGTTTTTGTAGCACATGAAGTCATTGTAAATATACACTTATATGAGGCATTTTATATGAGAATACGGGGCCATGTCACGGATTTTTCTCAAAATTCAAAAATTGTAGTCATAGTGGTGCTAAATAAGTGTACAAATTTAAATTTTTAATATTTTTTGAGATATTTACAATAACAAATTAGAGCAATAATTGTTTGCTTCACTCATAACTTTTTCCCTACTAAAAATAGAGAGAAATGTTGAGAATGTTTTTTACGCAAAAGACCTTAAACTTTTAGAAAAAAATTATTGTTTTGAAAAAATATTAATTTTTAAACAATTATTTGAAAAAATAAAATTTGTTTATAACTTTTAAACATGTTCTTCTTCATTTTAAAGCGCGATAAAAATCATGAATATTGTTTAAGTCATAATAAATCGATGGTAAAATTTTTGAAATAGCATTATTTTTTGTTTTCGAGATATTAATTAATTAACTAACAAAAGTTAATAAAAAATGTAATACTTTACGAACAAATAAAATTAGAATAATTTTAAAAATACCATTCCAATGCATATCGAAATCCGCATCCAACGAACCCTATATGAACTATTTTTGATAAACGGGTGTTAAATTAATAATCAAAATTATTTAACTAATTAATAACATTTGCAGAAATGAAGATAAATCGTCAATTATTTTTTTATTTGGAAGATCATCTAATTCTGAGTCCAAAAAAGAATATTAAGTATTACTAAGAATAGACAATTAATAATAA